CCCCCCCCCCAAAAAAAGGAAAATGAGACCTCGGGCACAGTTCGTCGGGAGCGTGATTTAGTGTTTTCCATGTTCGACCTATCAGTGTCATACTGTTACAGATCCAAATTATTATGAAAGAATACAATTAATTCCAAGAACATAAGTTTTGCCATGTAAGAAATCAAAATTTGTACAATTTATTGGGTTATAATTCTGGACCTTCACTCCTGGAGGGGAATTCTCAAGTTGAATATTGAAAACAGGAAGATTACATCAATGTTGCCACCTAAAAAGGACGTTACAGCAAGCTTTGCAATCAAATTTTTATCTTCTTGAACCGTGATATTAGGGGTAACCGCTACAGTTTGATTTGATAACATTATACCTTCACACACTTTAAACAGACCCTCAAAATTGAGTTACAAGCTTGACTTTATTTTCCTTCACGTTTTTTAAAACCCACATATGATAGTACACCACTTGATCAAATACTGATCATTTTCAGAACGAAAGTTGTATGTCAAACAAGAGAGCAGATTACGAAACAAGTAACAGCACTAAGCAAGCCAACTATAACAATGTCGCAGCTCCAGAGAATACACCTTTCCCCAAACCTAATCAACAGACAATGTGACAACAGGAACAAATCACAAACCTCCAGCTTTGAAAAGAAAGCTTCTAAATCTTCTTCCTTGGCATCATAGGACAAGTTGCCGACATATGCAGAGAACGGTCCATCTTTGGGAATCAGTGACAGATCCACATTGGGGCCCATGGCAGCCTTGGGCGCAGTGGGCAGGGTGGAACGATCGAACTTGAAGGGAGCTGCATCAGCATCATCTGTAATTATAGAGCACATTTGTCAATTCCTTTCGTTTTAGTAAGAGTTTTACCACACTCGCAACAAATAACAAGCCATCATTTGTTAGCAATGCCAAACGCCCGCTGCTCTTTGGGCCGGAAAAGGGGCTCAGCGAGAGTGGTAAGTTTTGTACCCCCCGGGATCAGAAGTGACTCTCTTCTAAGTTACAGGAAAATTTGTGGACGAAAATGAAAGAAACTCGGCAACCAATCAGAGGAAAGGTCAAACTAACGACATATGAGCATACAATGCCGAATGATTTCTATAGTCGGAAAAGTTGCAGTGTTTGTGTTATTTTCCTCTGCAGTTAAAAAAAAAAGTAAGCAGAGCTGTGGAGTGGATTGTTCGCCGACCAGACAGGAGCCCCACATGTCTTCTTTATAGCTGTAAAATTTCAGATCTCTGTGGGTAGTACATTTTACGTATATTACGCATTGATTAACCCCTTTAAGTTTTGGTGGTACGTGAGCGTTACTCTTTAAAATTTCGCTTCGGGGGCTTGCATACGCTTTAAAACAGGTGGTGTGCACATCACTTCTCACCTTCTCCATCCCGAAGCCGAGTCAATGATTTGACAATTGGCAAAACACCCACATCCACCACGGCAGTCACCTTTAGTCAGAAGTAGCCGACCTACTCATCTACTGCGTAGTTTCCTTTCCAGCAAACACAGGCTTGTTTCAGCAGAGAAACTCTGCCCACATTCTGGTCGTTTTTATTTGCCGGTGCCGTGCCTTGAGTGTACCCCTGCCGTGAGATTACCCCAACAGACATGGGTACTCACCCCAAATTGTTGCCTCTGCCTTTGTCTCTGTCGCGGGAAGCACCCGATAAACCTTTTGTCAGCAGGAACTCGGAGCACTCTTTCCCGAAATATCAATGCCGGATTTAGTAGTTGACTTGCCCCAAGCTGTGTTGGATCTTTGCTCCCATGTGTTATTTCCACTATACCTAATGGGAGAAGTATTGATTTGGCATTCCGACTTGTGACATTCTCAAGATTTACTTTCACTTTTGTTTCCACTCAGAATTCTCCTATGATGGCCCGATAAATGTTTCAATTGCGACATACAAATAATAAATATTAATCCCAGTTATGCTGTTACTTTTCAAAACAAGCGTTGTCCAAATGCTGGTGAGTCGGGCCCGTCATCAAGACCCGTCAATAAAAAACTTTCAATCCCGTGTTCGCATCACGTGGCTTCGGCCTGTGAATTCTACGTGTCTGGGACCATCCGTTGATGGGGTCAGCTTAAGTTCATGCACACTGGTCGAAGCATCCCTCGAGACTTAAAGGGAGCGGGGGTGTTAGACACTTGGACTTAAGAGTCCTTGATGTGATTATAGTGATACTTCGGGATATTAAAAAATAACACACACACACACACACAAAGAGCAGAGGGCATATACATGGATATATTCATGGACACCTGTGAGAAAATTTTTAAGTCAGCTGGCAATCACACTGTTCATTTGTTGCTGATCCAAATTTTTTCCCCCTCAGATCCTGATTTTTTAATTTCATAGAGAGGCGGGTCTACCCATATCCCTCTTTAACACTAGTAAACATGAATTTTCCGCCATTTTCATTTTTTAAAACAAAATTCAAGTCTGGAAAACTGGAATGTGAGCCCTGAGATGGCTCTGAAGAATAATGAATCAGTCTACTTTCTTTGTGTATTACAGTCGGAATAGACCCCTTTCGGTTTGTCAACTTTATTTTATTTTCTATTCCCCACCACCACCACCACCCCCCCCCCCCCCAACTCTAATTCTACTCAATATTACTCATTCATTTCTTGTTACATTGAAACCTTGCAGTTAATTTAAAAAATCGTTAGCACTCAATCACAGTCGTGGTCACTCTGTGTGTCTGTGAAAGGAGGTGTGAGTTAAATGTTTACATGCAAAAAATTTTACTACGAAGAAATTAGGAGACAATTGACTTTTCAGGATTAGTTCGTCAGACATACAAACAAAAAAAAACCTTTAAGTTTCTAAAAAAAGGGGTTTATTAAATCATGGGTCTCAACTCAAAATTCTAAAAGAAGGAGGAACTTTTCGGGTGATCGCCACAGAAGCCCATTTTCGCGAAACACCTATTATTATTATACTGTTGAACCCTAGAATGCAGAAATAAAAACCATCAACTTATCAAAGCAAGGTTATTTCGCACCAATTTGAGGGTCTGAGAGATAATTTCAAGTAAGAGTCACGTACCAAATATTTACAATCTCGATTACGTACAAAAAGTGGTGGCGCCTGGGGTCTTGTGCGACTTATTTATATTTTCCCTTCATCATATTCGCCTGTATTTATAAACTATATAAAAAGGAATATTGTTTTGAGCCTAGAACCAGAATATCGACTGTCATGATTCATATCATATATATATATACATAGGCCAATATAATAAACGTGAAAGACAAAAATGAATGCTCAAACTCAAAGTAGAGTAGAATAGCCCAAGTAGACCTATTCAGTGTGAGAGGTGGAAGAACTGCGGGAGAGCAAGAAGCAGTGATACTGAAAATCTGCGAATCTTGAACAGAAAGCTAAAATATAGAGATCTAATTTACTGTCACCAATCCAATGAAACGCGAACACTTAGGCCCCGAAGTTCCATAACACGCTTACAAGTTATGACGGTTCCGATTTCACACAAGGCCTGCACCAACGCACACTTTACTTTGCAGAGAGCTGTAAATCAGGACTTTAACAGGTAGTAATCAAGATTCTAAACATTAAACATTTGCTTTCAGTTTTAGTTTGTTTGTCCTGTGGTGTTGCGTCCAGCCCTCCCCCTATCCCCAAGTGCGTCTTTCAAAAAAATCAATAATCTCCCCCCATTCCTGAGTCCTGTACTTCGAAGCGCTCAGGTTCAATGACCGATCACAATGGCGAGCCCGACAAGACCCTTGAATTATAACTTTCTTTTTGGTCTTACCCCCATTAGTGACAGTACAGTGACAAATATTGATTTGGATATGGTTTTTCTAATATTCGAGATCTTTTATGTATTTTCCCGGGTCTCGGCGACTTTTTTAAAAATTCCTGGGGCCAGGCAGTCACCCTGCTCCCAACAACTCTCTTTCTGATTGGCCCGCTGTCGCGGTAGCGGAGTTTGGGCGGAGGAAATGGCGGTAGCGGAAATCCGCTAAATAGCGGACTATTGAGACCCATGTTAAATACACCTTAAGATAGAAAACCAAAGGGTGAAGGAACCTCTTAAGTTGGTCTGAAAAGGGGAGCCCTGATCCATTGATAAAACACTAGAGCTGGAAACAAGACCATGGATTCCACATGCTAGTTGTCGGCATGCGAGAAGCATGTGATCGCTAGGAGACAAGTGATTGGCTGCCTTTAACTAAACAGGTCACTGATGACTTCATTGCCAGTTTTTTCGATACAGCTTTGCTAAGGCGAGAACAGTTGCAGTCAAACAATGTCGAGCAGTTCAACAAATTTTCACGCAAATATTAGCCTTAAATTAAAGATCCAAAGTAATAAAGACATCGAAAAAGAGATAAAATTACATGAAGATGCCAAATTTCATTCATATACTCTACACATCAAGAAACGTCCACATTTTGGCAATATTTCTCATATGAAGGTCCCCAAAAATTTTGCAATAAAAAATCCCAATAACTTTTTTAATTTATCAATGGATTTTTAAATTAAAAGACCCCGCTTAGAATTTACTCTTCTTTCATTTGAGCAATTTGGATAAAAATTGAATTTTTCATTGTTATTGACACATTTGTCAACAAACAAATTTTATGACTTCAAGCAACAAAGAAATTTTTAAAAAATTCAAACCTCTTAATTCTCTACAGGCTCACAGCATCCCACTTGTATTAACACTATATTACATTATTTTTAAAAATTCTAGAGTTTAACAACACTTGCAATACAAAAAGGTCATATAAGGGCTAAAGATTACAGGTATTGCTAGAGAGTAACATACAAAGAATAGAAGGAAGAAGAGACAAGAATGATAGACTTTTTATAAGAAAAAAAAAAGAGCATCCGCCAACAACCCAAACTACAACGTTGATTGTGTTCTTGTAAATTCCCATATCAGTAGACGGTGACAACATACCTTCCGCGTTCTCAGTGAGAACTGCCCAATTCTGGCTCTTGGGGGCCGAAAAGCCATCGTCTACAGCCAAGAACTGGTCAAGGCTCATCTTCACCATCTTCCCCTCCTTCTTCTTTTTTTTGCCTGTTGATTAGAATTGTTCAACTTTCAATAAAATATTATCTGAAGGAAAAAAAATAATTGAAATGCCAGTTAAGCACTACATTTTATGAAGTGCTCCTCACTAAATGTCACAATGTAGTATTGCTCTATTTTAAAAAAACAGCGCTTGGACAATAAATCTCTTAACGTGGTACAACATTCTTTGTAAAGGAGCAGACGACGTTCATGTGTATATTGCTGTGGAAGTTACACAGCAGGCAAGAAACTGGGTGAGGTGTTTTGATTCAGGAATTAATTTAGTGAAAATATGTCATAACCTACTACTTTCACTTTCTGGTTGTAGTTATTGTTGGTATCGATCCAGCAACAGCTGGGCTCTCTCACTTTCTGATAAACCATGCATGTTTACTTGAAACAATACCTCTACTTGGTATCTGAAATGACCAACATTAACTGTTAAAAATATGAGTCCGGTACAGCAAAAACTTGCCTCTAACTCTTCTTTGCGAAAATTACCCTCTAAGACTCTCTAAGAGCTTGTCTTTCAAATTACATCTTTTTAAATAAAGCACAATTACCTCATACAAAACCATAAAGAAGCCATTTCACACAATACATTGTCAGCCTTTTTTCCAACAGGCACCTCAGTCTGTGTCTCCAAAATTTCAGATTTCTTTTCTACAACAATTCACATTATTGTAAAAGTGTCTTTTATTCACAATATAAATTTGAGAAAAATGAAACAGCTTTTACTACTACAATACAGAGATGCCAACCACAGAAAACCGAAATGAGTATTGGGAAATATGAAAATGTGTATTTTCTGGGGGAAATGTGTATTCCCCACGACCGATCAACCAGTAATAGTAAAATGTTCAAGGTGTCCAGCAATATTTCCTGAAAAAAAATTACTTGCCCACCAGCTCGAAAAAGGGAGCACACACATGTACAATATACATGTATCCAGTCAACAACTTGTCCGTGTTCAATGTCATACTGGGGTCTTGTTTGACTTTAGTATTTCAGTCTATTATATAATATTTTCCTCTCATTATTATATAAAAAATGAATCCTGCTTTGAGAGTTCGGAAGGGCCTAGAACAAGAATTTCGACAATCAAGAACCAGTCTGGGTGTCATGATTCATATTATGAACTGACAGATTCAAATTATAGCTCAAACTCAGAGAAAAGCAATATCTTGAAAGGCTCAAGTAGACCCATGCACCATGAGAGTTGTAACAACTGTGGTAGGGCAAGATGCAGTGACACTGAAAATATGCCAGTCTTGAACAGAAAGCTACAACATACACTGCAGTGAAACGCGAACACTTTATTTCAATAACACAGACTTGCAAAGTATGGGGGGTCCCGATTCCGCACACGGCCTGCATGAACGCGCGCTTTGCACAAAACTAATCAAAATTTTGAAATGTGCTTCCAAGTTTTTGTCCTCTGGTGTTGCCTAACCCCCCCCCCCCCCCCCCCCCCCCCCGGGAAAGATTTTAAACCCCCAAAAAAAAAAAAAACCCCCCCCCCGGGGCGGGGGCAAAATATTCCCGGCCCCGGGGCCCCCCCCAAAAAGGGGCCCCTTCCCCCCCAGGTCCGTATTTTTTTCGCCCCTTTCCCAAGGGGGGGGGTAACTGAACGGCCCAGAAGGGGGGGCCAAAAAAAAAAAAAACGGGGGAGCCCCTGATTTTCTTTTCTTTATTTTTCCCCCACAAGTGACAGCACAGCGACGAGTCCGAGTATTTATTACATTTTATTTGCACGGCGACATTGCGTTTATCCTGCACAACCTGCATGCCACAAATGTTGCGTTTTCAGACAACTGCTGGCAAACTTCTCGGCGGTAACGAAGGCGAAAGTAGATCTTGATTTTCCCGATTAAGCCTTGGTGTCACATACGCTTCCGCCTGCCGCCATAGCTGCCTATTCGCATGAAAGTGAAACGTACTCTCCGGGCGGGGAAAAGCTGAACGAATATACGATCGCGACCGGCAAAAATTAACAAACTTATTGACCACATCGGACTTGGTCTTCAAATATTCCAGTTCTGCGATACTAATACTATTTCGACAAAAGATGGGACTTGAGATAATTAGGTTTACTCGCCCAAGCTGAATCTCGTATTTTTCGCATTCTAGGATGCGTATTTTTTCATGAAAAGTCGTATTTGCATATTTTCGGCAAAAAATCATACTAAAATACGTAAACTCGTACTGGTTGGCATCTCTGTATAATATGATCACAGGTCCAAGATTGAAAGTTAGTAAGAAAAAACAAGTTTTTAAAAAAAGTAGTTAAAATGTTAACTCACTCAACCCAAGGGCTACACTTCCGGGTTGTCAACTCTCCCAAGAGATTTCTTGACCACTTTTTGAAAACTTGGAAAATAAAACCCACTAAATTTTAACATATCCTACCCAAATTTGGTGCACGTTTTTATTCAAATCTATATTTGTGTGTGTACTGAAAATTTGAAGGCAAACTATGCCATAGTTTTTCTGCAATACTCTGTGGAAAAAGGTCTATATTCAGAGTAAAAAGGTAAACAAAAAGCGAAGAAAGGAGGTGCGTTCAAACTTCGCATCCCCACACATGGTTCGTGAATATAGAGCTTTCTTTTTGTTCTAAATTTGGGCTTGCACTTCTGGCCACAGTCTTTTTCAAAATGAAAAATGATTACTCTACCAATTAGGCTCCAGTCTGCTTCACACAAACCAAAAGTTGTGTTTTCTGCAATTTTCGGCCTCGTAAATTTTCCAGACCAATACTGTCGGCGTTAGGGTTGGAGCGTTGTACGCGCATGCTGATAGGGCTGGGTGAGTTAAACAACACTGACCACAAGATAAACATTAACTTTACCTTTTCCACCACCAGCGGCAGGGTTGGCCTTGGCCACCTCATCTTGAGTTGGATCTGTGAAGACAAAATGCATCTAAATGAATGAGAGAAAGCAATAATCATCTGCTTCTTTGCCAGCCCCCTCCATCCCCAAACGGACCTAAAAAGGAAAAGTCAACAGTCTTTCTTTCCGTCCATAATGCCACAGATTTCAAGATCTCAGACATGTTCCTCAGGTAACGGATTTTCAAAATTTTCTGTTTCCAACGTACTACCCTCTCACATTAGACGTGAGACTACTTTCAAATTTTGCCATGGCCAACATTGTATTATGCACACAGGATCAATGAGTTGATATGTCAGAAGGATGGGAGCTCAGTGTATTATACTGTATACATACTTTTGAGTGGTCCATGTGCAAGATTTTCAGCAGTGATGCTAATGACTAAAAGTCAAAAAGGAGGGAAATTATTAGCGCCACAACCAAATTAGGGAAGGAAGCAGAAGCCTGAAAGAAGCGAGCGTGGAAACAGTGCGCATATGAAAGAGAATTGAGAATAAAGAAAGCCATCCAAAATTTCAAATCGGCACGCGAGATGGCGATGATTGCTCGCTGGATTAAGAATTCGCGTTTATTGAATTACATTTTTGCCTACATCGGCGCCCCACTTTCGTGACACTTGGGAGGACGCCATATTGAGGAGAAATTTTCTCGGAAGGCTCAAAACCCCAGAATTCCTCGAATCCAAGGAAGATTAGTACCACTGTTTCAGGCTCCAAACTAAAGGGGAAAAAAGTAACAGCATAGAGCAAATGTGGTCTAAGATTCAGACCTGCAAGTGATCTTCAACCAGATTGTCTGAAAATTTTGCGCACACCACACGCGTCGTTTCAAACAGCGCCCGCCAAGAAAAAATCCACACCAAAAAACATACAGGGAGCATAATGGCCTACATTGCTATTATAATAGGGTTTGATACAATAACACAATCACAATAGAATCGGAATATGAATATTCCATATATAGAATCTAGTAATCTAAATAAATCTAGATTCTAGATCTAGATTAGTAAAACAATTAATAGGCATAGATCTAGGCCTTGAACGAAATCTGCATCCGAATAGAGGGACTCAGCTGAGTCTAATAATAATTTACGCACCTGATGAAATACTCTTTAATCAACATTAACATTACATTACAGCACAACCTATAATAGGGTCTGACACAATAGAATTGGAACTTGAATCCTCCATAGAGTTCTATATAATGATCTATACAAATCTAGATCTTGTAGAAAAAGTGAGTAGCCTAAGCCTAGAATGAAACCATATCCGAACAATCGGTCAACACACAAAATTGAAAAAGGCTGCTCGAGCACGAAACTGAAAGTAGATCTAACTTAGGTCGTCGTCCTTTTTCGTATTCGTATTCCTACTCAGGTTCCGACAATTATGTCAGAAACGCCAACGTCTGCAGTCGGCACGAAAACAAAAAGCGCAGACAAAGCCAACTGGAGAAAAAGGGGCGCTGGCAATCAGATGGGCCCTGTACTTTGCAACACTGACTAAAACAGGTTGGCCTTGCAATAGCATCGCCCGGGTCGCGATTGTTCGGATTTCAGACGATTGTCGGAAAGCATGCAGGTCTAAAGATCGAACATGCTCATACTCTTCCTCCTGTCCCCTCCAAGTATATGTCAGCTTACATGGGAACTTTGAAGAAAAAAATTTCATTAAAAAGGGAGAATTGAGAATGGAAATGATTGATTCAAGCCTTTAAACTTACTAGACGGAGGTGTTTCAAATTGCAGTATGTAGGTGCTTCATTTTGCTATGATAACAATGGTTAACTAGTAGGTTGCGACAGCAAGTGGCATGACGAGACGACGCAAACAATCAAGACACAGGATACAAATAGATCTAGATCAAAGAATTTTGCAATAATCATAAAGACTGTAATTGTCCTGTCACCTTTGTAAACAGAGGGAAACTGTTGTAAGCTACAACTATTGAGACTGTGACGGTTCTTTGCAAGCTGAAACATTTTAAATGCTGGCAAAGACAATGTCAAGTCTGTATAACCTGGTAGACCGTCAAGAAGAACAGT